GGTCATAACAGTTGCTTAGGCTTTTATATATACAGATTATTATTCTATATAATAAAAGGCTAATATGCAAATCGACCAAATGGTGGAATGACCGGTCGCTATGACGCGCACTGACCACCAGGGGGCAGACGCTCAATGCGGAGCTGAAGCCGGGCTCACAGCTGGCCAGTGCAGCGGCGGTGACGGCAGCCTCTCCCGACTCCGCAGCAGTGCTAAGGACCCCTCAGGGGATCTCTAACTGCAGCCGGCAGGCGGACATCCCCCAAGGGGTCCCAGACTGTGAGAGGGCACAGGCTGGGCTGAGGGACCCTCCCTCCACCCCCGCAAGTGCACGAATATCATGCACTGGGCCTCCAGTTATTATTATAAACATTAGTAGTCGAGAGCCTGGAATCTACCTGCAGCACAGCCCCGCCTCCCCAATCCCTGGGAAGGGAAGCAAGATGCCGTCTCTGAGATTCAGGGCTTGTGGCCCCTCCCCGGGAGTGCAAGGTGGCCCCTGCACTCTGGGAGAGGCAGCCCGTCCTCTAAGCTGGAGCTCAATAACATGTAAGTTATTACCCACCTCTTGCTTAAAGAGCCAGGGGATTTCCAAGTCCCCAAAGCAGTCAGGGGCTGCTGTGGGGCTGGGGCTGGCGCGCCAGTGAGGAACCGAAAGGAACAGCCTTGGGCGCTCCCCTCCCAGAGGAACTGTATGTCTGTATAGTAGCTCATGGGTACACACATCTCTATTTATGTATCTACCTGTGTATGTATATACATACATATTTTTTCTTGCATGTAAAAGAGTCCACACTGATACCAGCAGAAACCAAATGGGCCTCCCACCCTGGGATGGCCTCAGGGGCGCAGGTCGTGGGGCCAGGCAGGATCTGGGAGGGCCACACTGGGCTTCTGAAGCTTGCTTGCTGATGTTTAGGACTAAATGTCCTTTATTTCCTCTCTTTGCAGTCTCTTGATATTTGGTCAAATTAGGGTACTAGGAGGTGACAGAAGAAAGCAGGTGGCCTTTAAAGGGCCTGAAGGGCTAGGCCCTCGATCCTGAGCAAGTCCCTGCCCCTCTCTGAGCCTCAACTGCTCACCTATTAAACGGTGCTATTAATGCCCGCCATAGGGCTATTGGGAGGAATAAATAAGAGTGTATCTAAAGCGTTTGGCACAGCACTTGGTCCATAATAGCTGGTTAATAAAGAGCAACTGCTCTCATCATTATTCTTTTTAAATGCTAGTCGATCTTGGCTGTCCTTAAAGGAACAAACAAGGTTTTATGGCCCATTCTTTGGTGGGGTTTGAAGCTGTAGGGGAAGGTGCACAGGAATAAGAGAGGCTGAAGGAATAAGTGCGGGAGGGGAGCCAGCCCCTACCGGGAGGGTGGGAGAGCTCCAGGTCCCAGGGCTGCACCCAGGGCACACGCTGGGAGGTGCCTGCCCCCTCCGAGGAGCTCTCCTTCCCAGCAGGGGACTTGCCCTTTCCCTGGACCCGCAGGGCCCCGAGGAGCTCAGTGAGCGCTGGGAGGCAGGCAGAAGGCAGCACTTGCTCCCGGGAAAGCTCTGCAGGGCAGCAAGGAGTCTTGTTTACAAAGAAAGCCTGTTCTTGGCTCCACCGCCCACACACCAAGCCCCTTTATTCCACTCAATATGCCTAATTCTACTGAAAACTGCAGTGACAATACATGGAACTAATCAGTCCCGGATGCCCGAGTGGGTGTAGGCAGGCGCTTGCATATCCCAGGGACCGTGGAGGGCAAAGGAAAATGCCGGCAGGGAACACGGAGTGCTTTCCTGGGTGGACACTGAAGATGGAAATCCTCTACCGCAGGCGGCGTTTTAGGAGCCAATAAAGCCTTCGATGGCCTGCAACCGAGAAGCAACTGACGTGGCCAGAAAACTTGTACGGGATACTTTTCCTCTGCCTTGTTTCCAAATGGAAATCACCTTACTGAAGCCGTTCGCATGATTATAAAATACTCCGTTCAGACACTGCGCAAGGACATAAAGAAGAGGGCGAATCATCCATAATCTCTTCTCGGCCAGATCTCCGCTGTTGACATGTGGGAAGAGGTCGGTAGACGCTTCTCTGCGCATTTTTACGTCCGTGTTTCATACGCGTGAGGTCCTGTTGGATGTGTGGTCCTGCAGCCTGTGCTTCCCAGTGAGCAATAGGCCACGGGCATCCTTGAGCGAGGCACGGTCCCCTCCTGCACACTCCCTCCCTCTTCCTTAACAAGGCTTCCGTCAGAACAAATCCATCACCAACGCAGTAGGGGACCCATTTGTGTGTCTCCTGTCACTGAGGACACAGCTTATGTCATCACACAACGTCCTCCCTCGGAGGGGCCCGGGAAACCGCTCTCCGGCCTCAGGACGAGGAGTAACCAGACTTCTCAAGCACAGCTGGTTTGTTTTCATCTTACAAATGTGTCTCCCCTGCTGCCCTCTTTGTGGCGGCTGCCAGGAAGCTCAGAGCCAGCTGTGTCCTGCCTGTGGCTGGGTTTGCAATCCACATCGCAAGTGTTCTGGAAAGATTCTCACTCTGGCTTTATCTCTTCCCTCTGCCCCCTTGTTCTTCCTCCCAATTTTCTCACTCATTAAAAAAAAAAAAAAGCATCTTTACTCTGTGTTTTGAAACTACCTTCAAACGCTTTTTTTTGTAATTTGGGGGGAAGTAAATGGAATTAAAACTGCATACAGGCTAAATGCAATGTGGTGTGCTGGATTAGACCGTATTCTAGAACAAAAGTGGGAAAACTGAACTCTGAATATGAAGTCTGGAGTCGGTTTAGCGGTATAGTACCAATAATGTCAGCTTCTCAGTCTTGGCAAATGCACCTGCTTACATGAGATGTTAATACCAGGGGAAGCTAGATGAAGGAAAAGGGGACCTGTCTTTCCAACTTTTCAGGAAATCTAAAATTATTTCAAAATAACAAATTTACTAAACACAATCTGCATACAGACTACTAGGAGACTGTTTCCTCTTGGAGACCCAACAAGGTACCATCTTAACAGGCTGAGAGCGCAGCAAGCGCCCAGACCCAGGGCATTTCAGAACCAACTAGAACCAGCCAGCCGCTGTGGAGCACCTACTACCCACCCGCTGGCCTGGTTCCGAGCACAGTTCAGAACCAGGACCCCGATTCCCAAATGCCAGTCTCGGCTTTCCCTCTCACTAGCTGTGCAAACTCTGTCTCAGATGCTGTGCCTGTGAAATGGGCTAGCAAAAGAAGGCATTTAACAGCGGTGCTGGTGGCTTAAAACACTTGGGAAAGAACAGATTGTCCCAGTCAGTCCCAGCTGTATAACAAAGCAACTGGGTGGCTCAGAAGCAACAGACATTTATTCCCTCTCCCCTCCCCGTTCTGGAGGCTGCAAGTCTAAGATCAGGGTGCCAACCTGGTCGGGTTCTGGTGAGAACTCTCTCCCAGGTTGCAGACCACCAACTTCCCCTTGTATCCTCATAGTGGAGAGAGGGCTAGAGCACTCTCTGGGTCCCCCTTTTTAAGGGCACTAATCCCATTCCTGAGGCTCCACCCTTCGGGACCTAAGCACCTCCCAGAGGCCCCACCTCCTAGCGCTACTGAACAGGGGGTGAGCATTCTCACATACGAATTTGGGGAGAACACTAACATTCAGTCCATATCTTAGACATTCGATATTTAACCTGTTGTTAACGTCATTGTGAGTTCATGCCTCCTTTCATCTTTCCAGTGATCCTGAGGAAGACACGTTATTTGTTATGATTCCCTGGGAAAAGGACAGGAACCCAGAGAGGTGAAGGAATTCTCTAAGGTCATATAGCTATTAAAGCAAAAGCGAAATCTGGGGTTTGAATCCAATCTTCCCGGCTCCAAACACAGAGCTCTTCCCGCTACACTATTTCCTAAGACCGTGGTCGGCAAACCGCGGTTCTCGAGCCACATGCGGCTCTTTGGCCCCTTGAGTGTGGCTCTTCCACAAAATACCACATGCGGGCGCACACGTACAGTGCAACTGAAACTTTATGGCCCATGCGCAGAAGTGGGTATTTTGTGGAAGAGCCACACTCAAGGGGCCAAAGAGCCTCATGTGGCTCTCGAGCCGCAGTTTGCCAACCACTGTCCTAAGAGATGCTGACACGACAGAGGCCTGTCTGTCTCCATAACAAAGGGCCTGAATGCCCCATAATGGGGGGAACCTGACGCTCTACATAGAGAGGAGAGGAGAGGTCGTGGGGGTCAGAGCGGTGTTCAGGGGATCCTTCAGAGCCATGCATTCAGGCCCTTTGTTATAGAGACACAGTCTCATCTGCTTTGTTGGAATCAAGACTGCCTGGGCCCAAATCCTGCTCTGCATCCCATCGGCTGTGCGGCCTTGGGTTAGCCTGCTTAACCTCTCTATGCCTCGGTTTACCTAGCCGGGAACGTGGGTAAGAATGACCTACCCCACAGGATGGCATGAAAGTTCCAGGAGATGACACCTGTGAAATCAATTACGAATGCTGGGCACACAGTGAGCCCTCTTTAAGACGTGAATTAATAATATTTCAATAACTGCTGGTTGCCCTGGATCAAATGCCAGCCCCGACGCTGCCCCAGTACAACCCCAGCCCAGCTCGTGGCTTTCTCTCCTCTTCCCTCTCCAAGCACCATAATAAACTCTGAAGTCAGGGCCATCGCAGTCCATCAGCAGTGTTTGCAAAACAGCAGCCAGGAAGAGCCTGGCTGGCCCGGTGCCCAGCACCACGTGGGAGGCACCCTGCGCTGAGGACAGCGGGGAACTCGGGGCGTGGGAGATGGGACACAGCTCCTGCCGCTAGCTCTGAGCTGTGAATGGAAGGCATGCAGCCGGGCAAGGGCTCCGGCTGGGGCCAGTCCCTAAGGTGGATGCTGAATGCGCTGCTGGAAGTCTGACCGCAATCAGCCTCGGAGAGCTCCCCGCATGGCTCAGGTGGTCCCTCCCACGCCCCCCCCATGCCTGCAGCCCCGCACCCCACCCCTCCAGCAGGAGTGGGGGGCCCCTCACCTTGAGCCCGCTGCTTTCTGCTTCAGAGCCCGGGTCCACACCCGTGACGTAGATGCCGAGGCCGTACTCTGCTCCCCCGCGGATGGTGAGGCCCAGGGACCGGCCGTCCCCCAGCACCAGGTTCACCTGCAGCAGGGACAGGACACAGCATTGAGGGCCATGAACTTTGGGGGCCAGCAGGCTGCAGTCACTCCCAATCCCTGATGAGCACATGGATTCAGGTCTGCAAGATCCCCGGGGACATGGCAGCTTCTGCCCCAGCTCTGCCTCGACTTGCTGAGTGGCCGGGGGAAGCCCTCTCCCCTGGGCTGCAGTCACAGGAGCAGGAAAGGGAGGCGCTGAGGGAGATGACCTCTAGGGATGCTCTGATGCCCATCCGAGAGCTCCTCAGCACTCCTGGTGTCACTCCTTCTTCACACCACGGGCCAAGGACTCTCTCTGCCTCCACTGGCTGCCCTTAACCACATCCGTCCATCAGGGGGGGCCTGCTCGGGCCCTGGGTCCCCTCCTCCCCCATCTCCCTCCTCAGGATCAAGGCTGAGTCCAGGCTTGGGGTGCCACAACCCCAGGGTCTCCTGCCTCCCCGGGGCCTTCCGCCTCTGCCATCCATCCTGACAGCACAGGGTGCTGCTTCAGTAGCCCTTAATTCTACAAACACAGGGGGCGCCCAGACCCAGTGTGGGCCTGGGGACCCACAGATGCCCAAGACAGTCCTGCTAGCAAGGGTCTCAGTCTGGAGGGGCAGCGGGACCAGGAAACAGTGTGGCCAGAGCGTGGTGGGTGGCTCGGGGACCGTGTGGGTGCAGAGAAGGGACCATGGTCCTGACTGGGGAGTGAGGTGGTCAGGGAGGCGTCCTGGAGAAAGGGGCGTCTCTGATGAGATGGGCAGGGGAGCCTCCTGGAAAGATGGCCTTGGAATCCCGAAGGCTGAGGGGGCCAGGGCAAGGGGAGGGCAAAAGCTCCGAATCTGGAATCTGGATAGTGCACAGCCCCTGGGGTCACGCAGGATTCTGTTTGTATGGAGCGCGGCAGGGAGGGAGAGGGAGAAACAAGACTAGCCTATGTGCGGGGCTGTGAGTGAGGCCACGCTGGGCCTTACGCAGGGGAGAGAGGCTCAGACTGGGATTTCAGAAAGACTACTGGGGAGGGCCCCCAGGCGAGAGGGGAGAGGCAGGCCGAGGACAGAGTGGGTAGTCCCCACCAGGAACCCCCACTTTGCCAGGTAGAGCAAACCCCCTCTTCCATATTGTGCCTTTAGGCCTGGAACCAGCCGAACTCAGCCCTGCTCACTGGGTGACCTGGGGTCTGTTCTCCTGCCCCCCGCCCCCCACGCTCCCAGCCTCCACCCCCTCACCTGGTCCCCCCAGCTCCAGGACACAAAGATTCTGGGGAGAGCCCAGAGGAGCCCAGGAACACACAGATGGCAGGAGTCTCTGCGGCCGTCCTCTGAATACTAAGGATGGAAGCAAACCTCCCGCCTGCCCGCCACCTCCCCATAAATCCTTCACAGGGAATAAAACGGAGTCTTTATTACAGAACCGTAATAACAGTCCCATCAACCACACAGTAATCGGCCTCAATTACTTGCTGGAAATTCAGCTGGTGTTTGGTAGGAAACAAAATTCACAGATGGGAAAGGACAGTCAGGAGAGGCAGCCTGGCTCTGCGAAAAGAAGGCCACACACACTAATAATAGGCACGTAGTAATAATAACTCACTAGATTAGCTGGGGACTAGATGTATTTCTAAATCCCAGGCACTTCACATGCATTAATTATCTCATTTCATCCCCTCTCCTCCTCTACGGCTTTATTCTTTTCACCCCTTTTCCAGATGAGAAAACTGAGGCTGGAGGATGAAAGGATGTGGCCACGGTCACAGCCAACAGCTGGCAGAGGCCAGGCATTTACGTGGAGCACCACACTGACTCCTGAAGGCCCGAGTTCAAATCCTGCTTCTGCCCTTTATCCCTGGGCAACCGTGGGGCAAGGCCCATCACGTCTCTGACCTTCAGTTTCCCCACCAGTGAAATCCTCGCACACAACCTACACGGAGCAGGCACCGCCATCCCCCTTCCTGCCTTGCCTAGAACCCCGACCCTGCCCAGGAAGCAATATGAGCAACCCCAGGAGATGACGTCGATAAGCATTTGGGGGAAAAAATACATGAAAGGAACCTAGCGCCTCGCTGGCATTCGATGAGTGATGGTTGCCCCTGGAATGAATGACTCTGACCCAGACACTGTGCTCTGTGCTTACACACACGACCAGTGACCCTGGAAACAGCCCCACATGGCTGCCGTGACCATCCCCAAATCCAGGAGCCGGAAGCCTCAGTGGCTCACCCAAGGTCAAGGGACGCTCTCAAGGCCACACGGTCAGGAAGTTCTAAAACCAGGTGTGATGTTGTGATTTATAACAAGAAATATATATATTTGGTCTTCAACCCCATTCCTAGCACTGAGCTCCTGAAACCCGTGTAAACTCCTAAGTGGTAAGAGCAGTTGGAGCATCTTTTGTTCTAATGAGGTGACTCTGGGTGGGTTCCTGGATGGCTCCTGCCTGGGGCCTGGTCACCAGAAAGACCAACCCATGATGAGGAGTCTGGAATATTCACCTCCCACCCCCATTCTCCAGAAAGGGAGAGGGGCTGGAAGAGGAGTTAACTGATCCGGCCTATGTGAGGAAGCCTCCACAAAGTCCCAATGGTAAGGGTGCGGGGAACTTCTGGGTTGGTGAACATGTGAACGTAAAGGGAGAGAGGCACATCTGGAGAGAAAGGCACATCTGGAGAGAGAGAGGCACATCTGGAGAAAGCACCGGAGCTCTGCGTCCCTCCCCACACCTCTCTTCCATCTGGATGTTCATCCGTATCCTTTATCCAGTCCTTTTACAACAAACTGGTAAACAGTAAGCAAACTGCTTTCCTGAGTTCTGTGAGTTGCTCTAGCAAATTAACAGAACCCAAGGAGGGAGTCATGAGAACCACCAAGTTATATCCTCTGTTAACCATCTGTACGCCAAAAGCGTCTATAGACGCCAGCGGTGGACCTTTTTAAATTAAATTCAAAATATTGTGGCAGTTAACTGGTTAACTCTGCAAAGAACAGTGTACACATGGGTTTAATCAAACAGGACTTATATTCAAACCCAGCAAATGCGTAGCAGTTAACTGGTTAACTCTGCGAAGAACAGTGTACACATGGATTTAATCAAACAGGACTTATATTCAAACCCAGCAAATGTTCCCCGAGCTTCTAGCATGTACTGGCCAGTTGCCAAGGTGTTTTCGTCTTCATTCATTCATTCACTCGACACTTACTGAGAGCCTGTGCTGTGCGAGCCACTACCAGGGCACAGAACCGAGATCCTTACCGCCACGGAGCTGACACAGAGTGGGGAGAGTAGGCCCTGTTATTGTCTTCATTTTATAGAGGAGAGATTGAAGCCCAGAGAGGTTGTGTCACTTGTACAAGGTCACCCAGCTGGTAAGTGGGGGAGGCAGGATTTGAACCCAGGCAGCCTGGCTCCAGAGTCTTATCCTTTCTGCCACGTGGACACTAGCCTGTTTAACCCCCAGCAGCAATCCTGTCCTTGTTTACTGCAGCTGTAGAGGCTGAGGGTTAGCCCAGAATGGGACGCCGGAACAAGGAGCCCCTCTTCGCCTCTGGGGGAGTGACAGTGTCCCGAGAGCAGAGAGGTCTCATTTGCAGAGAGCTCCGTAAGTTCTTCCTCCCTCCTGTGCCTCCCTGCCGCCTCACGATGGTGCTCACACCCAGTGTGGAGAAGAGCATCACTGGAAGGGCTGAGAAAACAGATCCAACTTCAGAGGACAGCTGAGAGAGTTTTCAAAGGCACTTTCGTTCCACGTGTGATTTTTATATCACGATTGCCCTGAGCACTCCCCACTGGGGCTGTGTTAGGATTTCTGCAGTTGGGTGGGAAGTCCATCCGGGAGTCTGGTCACGGCTATTTAGAATATTAGATGAGACCAGGCCACTGGACAGAAGAGTCAGGCCCAGGAGCCAGAGTGAGGGCTCCAGAGACATGTCCCCAGGGCCCTTCTCAACAAGGATATGGGGGTTTCCATGTTGTATCAGCGAGAGGAGACTAGAGGACAGGGCAGAAGCTGCCGTCGGGAGCTCTGAGGTCTGTGAAGGCCTCCTGGGGGTGGTCTAGGGCAGCAGTCGCCAACCTTTCAGACCTCATGGACCACCGGTTGGCGACCACTGGTCTAGGGTCTCTGCTGGCTTCTGAAGTAGTGGGCCTCCGGGGAACACAGTTCTCTCAGCCTCTGTCTTCTGCATTCCTATGTAAGTCACTCCTAGATGCCCAGAGGTCACCTTCTCTCCTTCCAACCCTCCCATCCACTCACTTCCAGGGACAGGGTCCTTCTCACCAAGCCTCGAGATGCCATGCTTGTTCCCACCTCAGGGCCTTTGCACGCACTGTCCTTGCTGCCTGGGATTTTCAGTCCCCTGACGGCACATGGTGGCTTTTTCTTTCTCTCTCGGTCTCACTCAGGAACCATCTCCTCGGAGAGGCCCTACCTGACCACCTCATTGGGAGCAGTGCCTCCCTCCCCATCGCTCTCTATCCCCTCTCCTGATTTTACTTCTTCCATCTGTCTTCACCACTTTAATGCTCTTGCTAAACTTTCGTTCGTTTCTGGATTACTGTCTCACTCCTCCCAGGACCTCCTATCCCACTTCCCACAGTAGCCTCAGGCACACCAGGAGCTCACTAAGTACAGGGGGCCTCCTGCATGGGTCCTAGTTGCTGAATCTCCGACCCCTCATGTGTAAAATTCGGATAAGGACGCCTGCCCTGCAGGGTGGTCTGCGGATTCAGTAAGATGCTGTTAAGTACAGAGCCCAGCACCCAGCCAGCTCTCCACCAGCGAGAATTCCTACTCTAAGATTATATCCTACCCCGAGGGACGGGGCTGGAGAAAAGGATAAAGCAAGTTCTCTGCCTAACCCTGGAAGGCTGGGCTTGGAAATGAGTCAAGGCCACAGGTACTGCTGCTTTCTCAAGACGGCCAGAGAGCAAGGTCTCCGGGGGAGGGGGGCACGGGGGCCGACCCCCACCCAGCCCTGCCTCCTCGGAAGAAGCCCAGGCGGACCCAGTGGTGCCTACCAGCTGGCTACCCACTGCCTCTCGCCTGGCACAGAGGCGGCTGCCATCTCTGTCTCGCCTGCAGATCGATGTTTGAGCACAAAGAACACAAAACATTAAATAAATGTTACGGTCTTATCGACAGGAAAGGAAAGCTGAGAACGTCTCCGGAGGGGAGGCTCTGTGGCCTCCAGGCTGCCAGAGTCAAAGTGCTGGAGGACCAAAGCTGCTTGCAGGTATGACATTCCTAGTCCCAGGAGCGACTGGGGTGGGGAGGGGGGTGCAAACAGCCCCCAGAGTGAAGTTTAAAACATCAGGGAGGCCATCTCTCAGTCCTTTCCACAATATTTTAAGAACCAGTCGTGCCCGGGGAAAGGCGGGCTCTGTAGGGTCGTCTGTTGATGCCCCTGTCCCTCTCCTTCAGGTTACCACA